CACCATGGCTAATAAAGCACTGATGTAAAAAATACAGCTAACAAGGTCCAACATTAGAATTTGTGTCTGTTGCAGCTGTTATTTTTATTTCTTTAATCTTATTTTTTAAATGATCATTTTACTGAAAAACGCGCTGTCCTCAGTCCATAAGAGTGGGCGGTTCAGTCTGAGGGATCCATTATTTCATCAGCCTAAACAGGGACTTTAAATGGTCATAATCCGGTCCTGAATAGAATTAATGAGGAGTTATTAAAACAAGGTCCGATTAACTCCACAAAGAATCTTTATTTATTTTTATTTTTTTTGTAACTATGATAATACTCCTGGAGGGCGTGGCTTCTTACTATATATTTAATATAAACACTAACCGCAACTTATCAAATTAACCAGCTTTTTTTTCATTGTACCAGGAAAGGTAGATGAATACTCTCTAATAACATTCTGGAAACCGACAACACACACCCGAACACAATCGTTTGTGAATTAGGCGATAGTCTTCTGTTTCTCGCTTGTGCGTCTTTTATAGTCGTCTTCCTATATCTAGTCTTAAGTAATTATAGGGTATTCGTACGTGTGATATTTATGGCACCGTCTAACCCCGCAATCGCCTCGTTAATTATGAATGGGAAGAATAATTGCTATTGGACATTGTTAAGGAATTATGAATGATGGGCATCTGTGCGCGCGATAATTGTATACGTTATCCCATAAAAAGAAGTATACAGACGATTTAGTATTTTTCCTAGCTACCACTGTTGTTCGATATGTTTATATTTTGATTAATCACAGGTAAAGATTAAAAATATTATTTACGCAGAGAAAAATTAACGATTTATAAGATGGCTTTCAATGCTGAATGTCACTGGCAAAATAGTTCATTCTTTTAACGACACTTATGCTAATATATGTCATGTTTGGCTTAATTACTATCAATTTCGTGTGATTTATAGCGTTGTCCAAGCATAAGTTCTTTCAATTAATGTCCATAACATCAATAAACCGATCTGACGAAAGCTCATAAAGTTTTGTTACAGCAAAGTAATATTTACGCTTTGAATTAGTAATACACTCATCTATACAATATGATTTGGACAAGCACATGTACCTCAAACTGGTTATTTACATTTGCGTGTTTTATTTTGTATTGAATATATGGTCAAGATTTCAATGCTAATGTCTATTTGTCTTTGTATGACTTACTTCATTCATCTATTTAAGAGCCATAGTATAAATAGAAGCTTTATGACTGACCCAATATTTAACCATAGAAACATTAAATAGTTGAAGAAGTTGTACCACAAAAATGACCTTGATGTGACATTACAGTAAAAAGGCTGCTTTTTAGATTAAATAACTCTGTCTCTCAACAAAGACAATAAATAATGTACACGTTAGTTAACCGTGTAAACTGCAGACGTCGATACTAATGCCAAATATAACTCTTCACCTTTAAAGCGTGATGCCGGAAGGACGTAAACAAAAAGAAACAAAAAGAACTACCCAACGGCTTATTAGAAGAGACTAAAGATTGAAACTTTTGAAGAAAATTAAAAAAAAGACTTTGTTGTTTACTTCAGTACTTCTAGGATAAGCGACCTGTCATCATTCGACAGTTACCAAATTTACTATTTATGATTTTCTAATACTGTCACTTTTAACCTCCTCCTCAGCATCGTCATCATTTCTGTATCATCATGATTATCTTTACTATCATCATTGTTAATAGAACTACTATTATCATTATTGTTGTTATCATTATTATAATACAAGAAATTAGAAAATTCACGCATTGGCGCGGTGTTTTTGGCCAAACATATCAAATCACTGGTTCCCATGTAACAATCAATGATGATGATGATGATGATGGTGATGTGATGGTGATGATGATTGATGATGGTGATGATGGTGATGGTGATGGTGATGGTGATGGTGATGATGATGATGATGAAAGAGGAGGAGGATAACAATCAACAATAATGATTGATAATGATAATAGTAATAGTAATATAATGATAACGATGATAATAATGATAATAACAATGATAATAATGATAATTATGATATGATATAAATAATAGTAATAATAATAATGAGAAGAATAAGAATAAGAATACTGATATTGATAATAATGATTACGATAGGAATGAATATATACATTAATTAGAGCGCTTGTTATGACAGCAATTATGGTTTGAATTTTTGAACACGTGCCTCAAACTTTTTTTCAATAAAGTTCTCTCTTAAACAATAGTCAGACATACAACCACGCCCCATCCACCCGTACATATTTCACACAATTAATGATAATTTATTCATCTGTTCCGCGCAATACAATCTGACCATGAATCAAAATACAATAGATACACCAGAACGAATAGATGAAACCCACGAAATTGATCGCATAAACTTCCTTACGGACTGAATAATTCCCTCACATGCCGGTCACGTGACAATAACAATGGCTTGTCGTTTATTATCAAGAGAAGCGAACTTGCCCAAGAGGTTCGAGTGCCTGTAGAAGGGGTGCCAGAATGGGTCAAGACGTTGTATGACACAGGGCATTTCCCTCTACGTGAACATTTGGTTAATAGGAGAGAGAGCACAGTAAAGACAGACGCTTTCGTGTGAATATGTATGTATATACGAATAAGTACGCATAAATATTTACATTATATTTATTCATTTTTTATATAAATACACTCACGTATATATATATATATATATATATATATATATATATATATATATATATATATAATATATATATATATATATATATATATATATATATATATATATATATATATATATATATATATATATATATATATATATATTATATCATATTATATATATATATATTATATTATATATATTATATATATATAATATATATATATATATAATATATATATATAGATGCACAAGAGCAGTCCTCATATGGCAAGTACCGGGATGCCAGGATGAGAGTCGCCGGATTAAAGGGGGGGGGGGGGGCGTTCTCGGCATCTCTGAAGCGAATGAAGCCGAATGAAGCCGAATGACAAACCGCTTTCAGTACTCGCCTGAGCCATCTCACGTATATGTATATATATATATATATATATATATATATATATATATATATATATATATATATATATATATACACAAAGACACACATCACACATATATATATATATATATATATAAAAGATATTGACAGAATATCAAAAAATAGATATTCCAAAAGATATAAAACATACTAACCTGAGCCCATCTCACGTGTCATTGATATATATATATATATATATATATATATATATATATATATATATATATATATATATATATATATATAAATATATATATATATATATATATATATATATATATATATATATATAGATAGACAAATATTAAAAAATAGATATTCCAAAAGATAGAGAAAACAAAGCCTGAAAATAAAGAAAGCATATGTATTGTTACGTCAACATTCTCGTATTCTGTGGTTCATATTTTACTCTTTCGAAACTGTGCAATTTGACGTTGTTAGATAAGGACATTGCACTGTAATTATTTATGCTGAATATATAATCTATCAGTAAACTTTAAAACTGAAAGAGCTTTAATATCCATCTAATGACTATGTACCACAAATGAATTATTATGTCTAAAGAGAGAGTATAATAAATTGGTTATAGACTGTACCGTAATTATGTTTTTGTTATTGATAATCCATACAGTTAATACATTTAATACATTGATAATCCCTATTATCATACATTTTTTTGGACTTAATTTGCTTTCATATAACATTTCACGATTCCAACACAAGCAAATTATTAAAAAAAAAAAAAAAAAAAAACGAGAACCTAAAATATATATTCAAAGAACATTATTCTCAATCATACAGACGCAACAATATCTTTAATTATTTGCACTTCACTATTAATTAGAACATCATCATCGTGTTAATTACCAGAATATTATCATTAAGTTATTAATTATTATTATTTTGTTAATTACCAGAATTTTATTATTTTTACCAGAACATCATCATCGTGTTAATTACCAGAATTTTAATTACCAGAATTTTATTATTTTACCAGAACATCATCATCGTGTTAATTATTTCATTATTAATTTATTATTACTTTTATTATGATTATTTTGTTAATTACAGAATTATTATTTTATTATTACCAGAACCACCAGAATATCCAGAATTTTCATCTTTTATCAGAGCCCAGAATTTCATTATTAATTTTATTATTACTTTTATTATGATTATTTTGTTAATTACCAGAATTTCATTATTTTTATTATTACTTTATTACTTTTATTACCTTTTTATTTTTATTATTTTTTATTATGATTATTTTGTTATTTTTACTTTTATTATGATTATTTGTTACCAGAGATTAATGTGGTGTTAATTACCAGAATTTTATCATATTTTACCCCCACATTTTACCAGAACATCATCATCATCGTGTTAATTAGAGAGGACGATAAACCGCCGTCGCCTTGGTCGCTCTCCCTCCCGATGGACCACTTGTTGTTGTTCGTCTTCGTCGTCTCCGCCTTCGGGTTGTCGGGTGCTGTCGGTTCGGGTATGTTTTTGAGGACTGGGTAGTCACTCAGACATTTAGACTCTTTATTCATGTAAAGAGTCTAAAGGGGTCTTATGGGCAGTTGGGACTTTTTTTCTGGGTAAGTAGGTACTTTCTGCGCTCAAAACTGGGTTGTTTGGGGATATAGACTTCGAACAAGGGAACTATCTACATGCTGCCTGCCTACCTTCATTTGTTTTTACTTTTGTGGTGACCAGCATTATTATTATCATTATTCCTTTATGCTGATGATAATATAGAGGATAAGTCTATGTCAATAGATTTGAACTTTTGCTCTTGATTTTTTTTTTTTTTTTTTTTGGACGACGTGCCACAAATCGAGGCACTTTGCTCACTAACAGTAAACAACAGAAGGAATTAAAGGAATGTAAAAGACTAATCAATTTCGTATTCTGGGCAGAAGGAGGAGCGTCCGAGGTAGTGGTTGCCAGGATGGACGGTCTTGGCACCAGCCCCATCCAGGTGGACTCCCTACCCGAGATGGCACAGGTAGGATGCCGCCTCTGTTGTCTCCTTTTCCCTGGATAATTTTCCTCTTTCGAGTGATTTCTTTTAATAGAATGTCAGCAAAAATAAGAGATTAAATATACTTACGTAAGCAAAAATGTCAAGAAAATATATATACTTAGCCCTTTCCTCCTTCCGTGCTGAGTGAAACCTAAAGAAAAGTGCATTTGTAATACGCCAATGCATCATAGGTTAATGTCTTTGTTAAGATTTATAGTGTATTTATCTTAGTTTTTTTTTATTTATTCCTTTCATACTAATTCTGAAATAAGAAGAAAAAAAAATACTACTATGATAATACATCACAGACATTAAACTATTCACTTAAGGTTTTAAGGAGATCCCATTCCCTAAAACCTTAAATTCAGATTTGTCTTTATGGGAGATCCCACTCCCATAAAGACAAATCTGATTTTTTATTTACTTCGTGTTATTTCTCTTTTAAATATTTCGCTTCCGCATAAAATGACATAAATGTGTTCGTCCTTCAGATAAGCTTGTGTTTAAGGGTGAAACTCCTACAGTGGTCAAGGCCTTCATTCGTCCTTACGTACGCCATGAATTCGACACAGGATCTCTATTTAGGTATCTTTCTTCACCAAATTGGTCTTTGTATTGATCAATATTTGATGACATTGACAAATTGATACCAGCCTAATGTGCCAAAAAACATGGGGTTGTTTTAACATTATATCCAGGGGCTCAGATACCAGAGAAATAGCCTCAGTCTGACGTGATATACCCGACAAAGATGGAAAAAAGAAAAGAAAAGAAAAGAAAAAGAAAGAATGAAGAGAAAGAAAGCAAAGAATATTTTTTTCTTTTCTTTTCTTTCTTTCTTTCTTTTTTTCTTTTTTTTCTTCTATCTTCATCGGGTATATATATATATATATATATATATATATATATATATATATATATATATATATATATATATATTATATATATATATATATATATATATATATATATATATATACACACACACACACTACCTCCTCCCAACTAACACGAAAACATATACCCTTACTTCCATCCACACAATTCCAACACCTTATGCATCCAAGGACAAGGTCTATATATAAGTACTTTACAAGACCTTATCCAAGGAGTCCCCCCGCCCCCGCCCGCCCCCCCCCCCCTGCCGACGATAAAAACCGCTCGTGTCCCCGACCCTTTTCCCCGATTCTCCTTTTTTCTCCTGCAGCTTTCGTGTTGCACAACCGGTCCCTCTTCATACGCTGCTGTGACGGGGAGGTCGAGCTCCTCCTCCGGGCGGACTTGACCCTCTTCGTGTGGCATCACGTTTGCGTCTCCCTCGATCTGGTCGAATACACGCTGCTGATCTTGCTGGACGATAAGGTCTGTGAGAAAGAGAGAGAGAGAGAGAGAGAGAGAGAGAGAGAGAGAGAGGGAGAAGGGAGAGGGAGAGGGAGGGAGAGAGAGAAGGAGAGCGAGAGGGAGAGAGAGAGAGAGAGAGAGAGAGAGAGAGAGATGAGAAGAGAGAGAGAGAGAAGAGAGAAGAGAGAGAGAGAGAGAGAGAGAGAGAGAGAGAGAGAGAGAGAGCGAGAGAGAGAGAAGAGAAAGAGAAAGAGAGAGAAGAGAGAGAGAAGAGAGAAGAGAGAGAGAGAGAGAAGAGAGAGAGAGAGAGAGAGAGAGAGAGAGAGAGAGAGAGAGAGAGAGAGAGAGAGAGAGAGAGAGAGAGAGAGAGAGAGAGAGAGAGAGAGAGAGAGAGAGAGAGAGAGAGAGAGAGAGAGAGAGAGAGAGAGAGAGAGAGAAAGACAAAGACAAGACAAAGAGAGAGAGAAAAAAGAGAAAGAGAAAAAGAGAGATAAGTAAATGAATAGATTAAATGAGTGAATGAATAATAAGATTGACATTAATCATACAAAATAAAAAAGGGAGCCAGTACAAAAATGTGTTGCTTGGGGATAAAATGTGTGAAAGAGCCAGAAAGGGATTAAATGAGTAATTAAATAATTAAATGAATAAATAAATAGACCTATAAAAGATTAAAAAAAATAGAATAAATGAAATAAAATCACGGAGCCATTCAAGTATATACAAAAATATACTTAAATAGATTTGCTGAACTTACAAAATTTCTCGTTAAATATATTACTTACTGAGTACTTACCTGACTTTAAAGAGAATGTCTCTTTTCTTTCCATTGTGTATTACAGTTGCTGATTTGCATATCGAGAAGACAAACAGCGATTTAATTAATAGCATTAATGTACAGATATTATTGCTGATCAGGACAGTATTTAAATACGTAGTAATATATATATATATATATATATATATATATATATATATATATATAATATATATATATATATATATAATATATATATATAATTATATTATAATATAT